TTCTGACTGGACAACCACTGGCAATGTCAGACCTGCTGTAACTTAAACCTCTAAATAGAAATGTGTACTCCAGTAGGGCATAGCCAGAACTGAAAATCGCGCGCCAAAATCCTAAATTCAATATTTCCCTCCCTTAGCTTCCTCCTGACCAATCAAGTTCAAGCAAGGTGTTTTGAGTGTAGGTTGGTATGCACTGCAGCTGCGTTCTTCTCCCAGCCAGTTGACCTTGAAGGAGCAACTTGGTGAGATGCAGCAATTACTTTCATTTCCCCCTAAGCATCTCCCCTCCCACCCACCCTCCCCATCGTTCATGGCAGACTGTCACTGCGTTGTATTGAAGCATAAACGAATGTGATTTGGCAACTGACGGATGACATGATCTGCTCCTATAGTAATGTGGAATGGCTAGTAGAGGTGAATTTGCACTAGAAATGCAGATAATGAAGCTCTTCGAAGCCCCTCTAATTCCTCGACTGCAACTTTCTGTGTTGAATTGTGGCATTTCATCATTTATTTTTTAGATTTATGTACTGCCCCTCACACCAAGGCGATCGTTTTGGAATAGTTCCACTAAATATGTGCACTGAGCAGAAATTTTGTTGGAAAAAGACAGCGAAAGAAACTCCAGCAGAGAACCATCCACCCTGGTTTGAAAAAACCGTGGGAGCTTCTGTCAAATATCTAACACACCAGATGAAAAGATTAAGAATCAAGTTCGGCAGCATCACCTACCTAAGGGATGCACCAATAAACTTGTCTTTGAAAGCATCCAGATGAAAATTAAGGTTCCGGACTAGCAATTCAAATGAAGATAATTGTGCCTCTGAGCATGTTTAAGGAGACTTTGTTTCCCCAGTAGTAGAGAACCCTTCCATCCTTCCTTCCTTCCTTCCACCCACCCACCCATCATGATTTGTAGCAGTGGTGAGATTCAATTTTTTTTCCTACCGGTTCTGTGTGCGTGGCTTGGTGGGCGGAAGTATACTGTAAAATCCCCATTTCCTCCCGATCAGCTAGGACTCGGGAGGCAGAGAATAGATGGGGGCGTGGCCAGTCAGAGATGGTATTTACCGGTTCTCTGAACTACTCAAAATTTCCGCTACTGGTTCTCACACACTGGTCAGAACTGGCTGAATACCACCTCTGATTTGGAGTGATGTTGAAAGGAGGACTTTTTTGGAGATAGCAATAGCACTTAGACTAATATACTGCTTCACAGTACTCTACAGCCCCCTCTAAACAGTTTACAGAGTCAGCCTCTTGCCCCCAACAATCTAGCTCCCCATTTTACCGACCTCGGAAGGATGGAAGTCTTGAGTCAACTTTGAGCCTGGTGGGATTTGAACTCACTGCTGAAAACTCAGCCATCAGAGGACCTTCAGCGTGAGTCCCAGACTATGGATGGCATTTGGTCTCAGCTCTTGGTATTTCGGCAAATGGCAGCCTGTGTTCCTTTTGCCAATTCTTTTTTAAAATCACCTTAATTATATTTGTTTTAATTTCTGATTTGGATAATTGCCTTGACTTCATACTTACGTTCTATATAGCCTGTATTTTTAAAGTTGCTGTGAAAGCGCCTGAAGTGTTTGCGTTAAAAAAAGCAGCCAGGGTGTAAACAAATGATGTGTGAACCAGGCTTTTGTTATTTTAAATGAGTGTCTCTGAAGATTATTATATAGGATAGTTTTGGAGATCTGCTGTTTCCAAAGCAACTTACGCCAAAGCAAAAATGTTCCCAATGCAATTTATGACAATCCAACCTCTGGAGTTTCCTCCTTGAAGCGATTCAGATGCTAGAGCTAGTAAGAAAAGCACTGCCCTCATCCCCCACCCCAATGAGAATCCCTGAGAAGCCAGAATGCCCAGAATAATACAACTTGGTAGACTTTTTGGTTGCAAAATAGATGACACTATTGCAGTTCCTACAATTCAGCCTCTTCCAGATGTCTTAAGTGCTGTGGCCCACCACCGGACTGCAGAGCTGGTAGCAGATACGGACAGTGAGGAGGTTGGGGAGGAACATGGGCCAGTCCTAGAGTCTGGGGAAGGCTCTGATGAGGGCTCTGTGTCGGAGGCAGAGGGGAGGCCAGAGCCGTATGCCAGTTATCAGCTGCCTTCGGAGTCAGACATCAGTGAGGCAGATGAACAGCTGGAGCCTGTTCCCAGTGTGCGCATGCACAGAGTTGCCAGACAAAGGGAAGAGCTAAAGATCAGGGGCCGACTTGGGAGTAAGGCCACAGGTGGACAGTGAATGGCCCCTCCCAGAGGAAATAAAAGAGGAGCAAAAGGGGAGTATAGTTTGCAGGAGACAATTAATTTGTTTCATTGGTTCATGACTCTCCAAGATTCCTTGCCAAGTTTTGTAGATATCAGCCTGGCAGCTCTCCAACCCAGATAAGGTCTGTGACTGTAAATCCTCCCTCGAAAGACTTTGCTGGATGTGAATGAACTGTTCCCTTTGTCTGGCAACTCTGTGCATGTGCATACTGGGAACAGGCTGCAGCTGTTCATCTGCCTCACTGATGTCTGACTCCGAAGGCAGCTGATAACTGGCATACGGCTCTGGGCTCCCTCTCTGCCTCCAACACAGAGCCTTCATCAGAGCCTTCCCCAGACTCCAGGACTGGCCCATGTTCCTTCCAGCCTCCTTACTATCCGAATCTGCGGCCAGGTCTACTGGCCACTTAACACAA